ATATTATATTATATTATTTAAGCTGTAGTCTATCTCACATATGAAACTCTTCCGACTTCAGATTCTTATTAGGTGAGTTATAAACTGATTCTTAATTTCAGAAATTCCTTTTATTTGATTGATCTCTGCCATTATTAAGTGAAGTTTTTACTAACTTAAGATAAGCTAGAAAATGCTCAATTATTAATTTATTTCTTTATATTTAACTGATCTCTGTCATTATGACAGCTAGAATTTCTTATAAATAGTCTATATAGTATAGATTAGAGACTATGAAGTTCCTAAAAACTTAAGAGAAGTTATAGGGCTCTTGCAGGTTAAACAATAGCTATGTTAACCCAAGTTATAAAATCAAAATATCAGATTTATGTATACAATTCCCAACTTTAGATCGACTTTATTTAGATTTTAAGCATATATCAATTATTTGTTTCCTGTTTTATTGCTGTCAGTCATCAGAAAGCTTTATGAACTCTCGCAGCAAATGCTAACTATACTCAAGTTCTACTCAGCTTAAACTTTAAATAAATACTAAACATGTCAGACTCTAACTGCTCAAGCTAAGATCAACAGCATTTAAATCTGAAGCAAATATCAAATACTCCAACTCTATAAACAAATTTTTGGCATTCTCATTCCTATTCGAGTTCTGCACGCAGACTCTTTACTGTAGCTGAGATTATCCACTGAAGATATGCGCTTTGCAAGGACTTTTCAACTACTGTTCCTTCTCCCTGCATCCTTTTATATTCCTGCTCCACTCTCTTACAATTGCTCTCTGGCCGTGTGTGTGTGCGTGTGTGTGTGTGTGTATGTGTGCTTAGCACTTGCCCTTTGACCTGTGGAATGAATGGAAAACGCAGAATTGTTTCCTGCATGCATCTCGCTCGCGCTACCTGCAATTCTCATTCTCTCTCTCTCTCTCTCTCTCTGACTCTCGCTGTCTCTCAATCCTCATTCTTTCGCTAGAGCTTTGGTCAAGCAGTGGCATCTATTGTCAATGCACTTCAGTACATTAACCAAGCTGTCAGAGACAAACGCAGCTCTTGGCTGGCTGCTCCACCTGCTGCTGGCACGCCCACAGCTGAGGCTGCTGTCCGCTCGTCTGTATCTTCCTCTATCCTCTATCTCTCTCTATCTCTTGTCGCTCTTCAGCTATCTATTACGACATGTTTGCTATACACTTTCGCCGTTTTGACTCTTGTGGCACACATTTCAACGCTTCAGCCACGAAAAAAGGACTCTCACATATTTTTCTTCTGCTTCTTCTTCTTCTTCTTCACTGTGTATGCGTGTGTGTGTGTGTGTGTGTGTGTCCTTGCGCTTGTTTTCCGTTGGCCCGCATGTCCTGCCTCTTTGTTGACATATTATGATCCTTGATTATTTTGTGCTGACAAATAAATGCTTTTATTTTGGTTTTCCATGCTTTGACTCCACATTCGACTCCATCTTCATCTTCATCTACTACTGCTCCGGGCTGTCGACTCCTGCCGCTATGTTTTGGTTTTTGCGGTCGCTACCCCACTCCACCCCTCGCCCCTTGGGTGGCATTCGGCTATGGCCTCTGGCCACTGTTGCCAGGTGCGCGGCCATTCTTTTTTTTTTTTTTCTTTTTTTCCTTATTCTACTTTATTTGGCTAATTGGGCCGAAACAGCAGGAATTAGCTTGAATCATGCTTGACTTTTCACATGTGTGTAGATACACATGTACACATATGTATGTATATGTCTTTATTTATGTATATATCTGTATAAATACGTATATGAGCTTTATCGACGCATCTTTTATATTTGTAGGCGTTACCCTGTCACGCAACTGCTGCCCCACGATAATGAGAGTGAAAGAGAGAGAGAGAGAGAGGAGGGGAGGCATTGATTCCAACAGTCACACATATGGTAACATCATGAATAATATATACAATGGGATGAATTCGTAATACATGTTCGATACATTTTGGATAGAAGTAAGATCGAAATTCCAGCTCAACTTAACGCATTAAAGACATACTATAGAGTATATAGCCGATTCAATTCAGTTGTAATACTACAGCTGCTTAACAGCTGTTAATTAAGAGCAGTTAAGATGTTATTCGCATATCTCTATAATATTAGATTTTTATTAAGAGAAAGCAAATGCTCAGTTTATGCAAATTTCCATCTTCATAAAAAATTTACCTATATAAGTTTTAAGATTTATGGCTTATGAAAGCATTACATATGCTTAACAGGTGTTAAGCTAACAGCTGCTTTAATTGTGTAAACAGTTCTTAGATCTACCTAGATAAGAGACAAACTTTTACGAAAACTTCTGTATTCATACATTATTTACCACATGGCAGAAATGTCAGCTCTTTTAGTTTGCAGTTGATTTTTGTCTGAAGATAACATTAAATTATTCCATTGTGTTGGCAACCTGTAAAGCGTTGCCGCCGGCTCTGCTGATTGCCTATGTGATTTCGTCAACAAGAAGCAATAACAACAAACAACCAAGCAAGCAACAATAACAACAACTTAAACTGAAAGAGGAAACCCCGCACAAACGCCCACAAAAACCGAAACAGAAAAAAAAAAATGCTAGTTAAGCCAAGAACTGTGGGCGTTTGAACATATTCTCTGTATAATATTTTTGATTGTTATTGTTTTTGCTTTATTTTGGTTTTTCGTTTTTTGGGGCTACTCAAAAATGGGAGCCCATAAGCAGCGGAGGCCAAGTTCCGACGCAGAGACGATGAGTTGCTGAATTTCATTTGGGAATTCGATGGGCGGAAGTGCGATAAGCGCCAGCTTGGAGTGCACTTGCACTTGGCCATGGCCACACCCCTGCCTTATGCACGCCCAATTTGCCCCCATCCCCCCTCCCATAGCCGGATGTGAAATGTTTGCGTCATCCGGCTTGCATTATTAATTATTAATTAGGCAACGCTTCGATTAGGCTTCTTTAAAGATATACGAGCATATACGCTCCCTTCTTCCCCTTCTTCCTCTGCTTCGTCTTCTGCATTTTTGGGTTAAACAAATTACGGAGCAACATGAGCGAAAAGAGTTTTTGCGGTTTAAGGCAACGCTTCCTCTGCAGTGTCCCTAGATGCTGGGAACGGCAGCTGCTCCCACCTCGGCTCATAAACCTGCGGCAGACATGCGAGGACACCTTCAACACCATCATCAGGGCTTTTGGCACTGACCGCAACGCATATTAAAAGGAAGTTAGGCCAACCGCAAAGTCCAAAACATACAAACGGACAGAGGGACACTGTCTCACATAGATACACATGAAGAAAAAAATGAAAAGGTAGACCGTTTCTTAAAGAACCTGAAGCTTTTGGGCACATCTATAAATTTATTAAAATAGCAGACAGATTTGAGATGTTCGTCTAAAATGTTGATTTTTCAGCTAATTTTGTTTATGTATTGTTTTGATTTATTTATTTATACTACTTAAATTTTTTATATATTCGGATTTATATTTTATAATATT